GGTCAGGGCCAGTGGGGGGTCAGGGCCAGTGGGAGGGTCAGGGCCAGTGGGGGGTCAGGGCAGTTGGCTGGGGTCAGGGTTCAGGGACAGCAGGGGCAGGGTGGGGAATTTGTGCCCTGGGGCAGGTCTGAAGGACATCCAGCCCACACCTCCCACCTGGGAGCTCACACTAGCCACCCCCCTGTAGCTTCTGCACATCCCCACCCCTACACAGGACCCCTTCAGACGCTCCCTAGAGGGGGACGCCACTGCTCTGCTCCCCGCCTGCATCTCGCAGGCTGGCCCTCCTGGGCCCATGTTTGCCCATCCCTGAAGCTGGGGGGTCGGGGTGGGTGTGGAGGGTGTGGAAGCCCGACCCCCGAGCTGACTCTCAGGGTCCTCGCGGCTGCTCTTGGAGGAGACAGACGTGGTCCCGCCCCACAGCCGCACAGCAAGGCCCACACACCGCCAGCCTCAGGACCCTCGTCCACCCCTTGGCTGTGTCCTCAGGGGGCCCCGGAGAGGACCGTGGGGCGAGCCCTGGGGGAGACGAGGGCCTTCTGGAAGAGTCCAGAGGACCTGGGGGAGACAAGGGCCTTCTGGAAGAGCCCAGAGGGGAGGGCAGGGGTGGATCCAATGAGCCCTGGTGTGGGGCCGCCCTGCACACCCGGTGGGGACACGGCGGCACCCTCACTGCTGTGGCCCTGTCCAGGGCAGGGCGCAGACCTTGAGGACAGACACTGTGTCTCAGCAAGAAAGCACCGCTGGCGGGGCCCTGCCTGCGCCTGCTTCGAGGCAGGCAAGGGGCCCCGGTCAGCTGAGCGCTGATGCCAGGGGACAGCTGCGGAGAGCAGGATGCTGAGGCCTTGTTGGCCCCGGCGTGGCTGCAGGACAGGGTGCCATCCTCTGCGGGCAGGCGGGCTGAGCCCGGAGTGCCCTGCTTGGTGCTGAGGCCGGCCCAGGGACTCCCAGCACCGACCGTCCTGCAGGCAGGCTGCTCCGAGACAACGCGGGAGGGCCCAGGCTGGTACCCCGTGGTCTCCTGAGATTCCCCCCCCCCC